GAAACTCTTTATGGGAACAGGGACATTACAAATAGCACCTGCTACTCCTATTATCACAAAATTAAATTATCTTACATTGCTTTCTATGGCACATCTACGGACAACTTTGAGATCTTCAGCAGAATTATATGCCATGTCTGATACTCCATATAATGCTTAAAACCAAAAAGAAACAATACTAATATTACCAATAATATTCATAATTGAAAAGAAACTATTTGTAACACCCGGAATTTTAATTATAATTTCATATGGGCTAAATTTAATAATGGTCATCTGGCAAATGAAAGGTCCATGTCTAACCTTGTCGTCACACTAAAGTTCAAAAGTTGAAATGATAAACTCGACCCACTTATTTGCATAAATGCTTTATTTGCTTACGTATACTTTTAAAAATTTATCATAAGTTATTTGGATCGAATATTTAAGTATTTTAGAAGTTAATAAAAACATATTGATATTATACTCATTTTGTAGCTCGTGTTAAATAGCATATTTTGGGTTCAATAATAAATATTTTTAGACTAGTTATACATTAGATATTTTAATAGAAAGAAAGTATTCTAGATTTTATATTTTCTTAATAAATAAAATATAAATAATAATAAAATAATAAATCAAAACTTTCATTTCCAATTCAATTTGTTTAAGTTACATCAGTAATGGAAAAGAATATTATAATTTAATATCTTAAACGTAAATAGTCCATTAAATTGATATCAATTAATTTAATTAATCTCATAAGTTTTCTAATTTCCTCAAATGCATTTGGAATTCAAAGGTTAAAATTGATATGGCGTTTTGGTGACTTGAGGTTATGTGAGGTGTGCCAAATTATATATATGTAGGTGATCTAATTAGAATGTATTTTCCAGAAATAAAAAACAAGTTCACTCCCTTTAAATTTACACACATACAATCTATTAGAAATAATTTATTTTACTATTCTACAAGCCGTATTTTCAGATTTTATTTTGGTATCATTGAAGTAAGAATACTTTATACAAGTGGTAAATTCTTGTTTTCTTGATATTTTTATAGACTTTGACATAAAATACTCTAAAGCCTTCAGATCGATTTCTATGTTAAATCCTATGAAATGGACCGTTAGGCCGAATATGTTAAAATTCTATGGAATGGACCGTTTAGTCAAATATGTAAATCTTACAGGATATAAGAATTCTTATGAAATTCTTTGAGCTATTAGATGTCGCGCCCAGTTTGCTCTAAATCTAAAAAATGTCAGCATGTCATGTCATTTTATATTTATATCATGTTAATAAAAATATGCACGTATTTATTACTAAGTGTTTTTTAAAATACTCATTCTTATAGTAACTTTTTAGATTAGAACATTGTGTGGACGTGTGGCAGATTAACCAAGTGATGCTTATAGGGTCATCAAGTAAAATTTCTAAAGATGAAAATTTACAAATTTCCTTTATCTTGTTGAATAACATCTTTATATTAAATTTTGTGCACAGTATTTAATAGTTTTTATCGTGTTTAGACATTTGATATTTTATGTTAAATTCAAATTGGTGATTTGAAATCATAGTACTTTAATATTTTATTTGATGTGAAAACTTTTCGCTTAAATTGTTGGTTTATAATTATCAACTTATTGAACAAATTTCAAATTTTGAATAAAAGTAGATTTTGCTTAAATTAGGAAAAGAGGATTTTTGGTAATACTTCAAGTCTATTTTATTTTATTTTTAAAAAAAATTGAAATAGATTTTGGGGCGTTACACTCTGCCCGCCAAGATCAAAATTCAATCAAAGTTAAACAATAGAGAGAAGTTATTTACCGTTATAAGTTTTTCAACTTTCAATTCTATTTTTTGCTTTGATCCTGGACTGCTTACGACAGTACCTTGCATCCATGCTGATGCACCCGTTGAAATCAAGCCACTCTCCACCTACAAATAGATTGACATTATCTGCAATGGGAAAGTGAGAATACGACGATGACGAAGAAGCTAACATAAAAGTATATTAACTGTTAATGCCTCTGTAAAATCTATGCAAATGTCTACCAACTTAACCAAAAAATAGAATTGGACACATAACAATCAGAAAATTCTAGTATCTGCAGTCAAGAATTAGAAACATGGATCCTGCAGGATCATTTAAATCAATATACTACCAGAATAACATCCAAATGCTGCCTTCTTGTTCATGAACTCAAAATCTCATCAAAACGTAATATCTACAAAATAACTAAATCTCACAGGTCTTAGCATGGGCCCCAAGCAATACTGAATATAATGAAAGAATCACTCTTCTTTTTTTCCTTTAATGGGGGAGGGGAAACCAGTTCAGTAATCAACTTGTTGAAAAAATTGTATCTTTTCAACTAAAAAACATATTTATTGCCTTTGCTTAGATTAATAAAAGATATCCCCACTTAAATCTCATCAAAACCATAATAATTCCAGAATAACTAAATCTCACAGGTCTTAGCATGGAATACAATGAAAGACTTGCTCTTCTTCTTCTTCTTCTTCTTCTTCTTCTTCTTCTTCTTCTTCTTCTTCTTCTTTTTAATGCGGGGAAGGAAACCAATTCAGCTAATCAACTTGTTGTCTTTTAAAAAAAAAAAAAAAAAAAAAAAAAAAAAAAGAGGGAAAACCCTTTTAGCCTTTGCTTAAATTAATATACTGATATCCCCAACTCAAAACCTAGTTATACAGATTTTGTAGATAAATTACAGTATTGGAGAACACTTATTATTTTATCAACCACTAAACGTGCACAAACACAAAACTGTGTACAAGTGTAGGTGTGCCTATGATATCAACAAGCAAACATCCTCAGGTATGCGCCATATTTCTTGCTAGATAATACTTGCTGAATTCAACAATTGTCCTTGTTAATTATCACTCTTACTCGAGCTGTGAAGTATGTAAATTTTCGATTGTACATCAGAGACGAGCTCTCAAAAATAATAAATTTCAGGGAGATGTGTATTACCTGATCATAACCTTCGGCATCTGAACTCATCACACATTGCATATTTGAAAGACACGACCCATCGTTGACCTATTCATCACAAACTCCATTCACCAACAAAACAAAATCTAAACCAAATACATGATAAGTTAACTTCAAAAAACCAAATACTAAACCAACCCAATTATCATTCCAAACAGATAATTAAAACCAATAAGAAAGAATGTTACCTCAATAAAAGTAACACTTCTCTGAACTCTAAGTGTTCTAACCCAACCCCTAACCACCACAGTCTCCCCCAATAAATTCAACCCCTCGTCAGGCCCTCCTTTAATATCCACAATCTTAATTTTTTTCCGAAATTCGCCCACTTTTTTCTCCAAGGTCTCGGTTTTGGTTGCCTCTCCGGAAGTGATAGCGGAGGAGATAACAGAGCAGAATGCGCGTCGTGACTGGGGCACAGAAGCGGCGGTGGAGGAGAATGGTGGCAAGGAAATGGAGAGAGGGGTTTTGGGTTTGTGAAAGAGAGAGAGACGGCGAAGGGCGGTGGCGGAGAAGGGTTTGATGAGGCGGAGAGTGGTGGTGGCTGGAGACAGAGCCCCTGCCATATTATGGGAAGGGATTGTTCACTTCAGCTAACGTTTGTGATATGCCAATATTGTGGCCTCTGTCCGTCCCTCTCTTAAAATTGTAATTTTTTGTTAATCTTAGGAAGAAATATCATTCATTTTTGGTAACAATAATTGAGAAATTGTTTTAAGGACCATTTTTTTTTTTTAATCTGGGATATTTTGAAATTGAATGATATTACAACTCGACTAACACAAACTTAAAAATACTCGAATTTATACAAATATATGAAACATACGTCAGCAATACAATTCGTATATCTTTTGAAATAAATCATGTTCTCTTATACATTTCGATACTTGAATTGAATGAATATAGGTAATGTAATTAAGAGTTGATTGAATATTATATTTTTTTATTCAATTTTTTTAAATATTTTATTAAAGTACAAAAGTTCTATGATATTAATAATTTATGGTACAATAAGAGTTGAGAGCTACATAAATTTCGATTAGGTGTCCGCTTCCTCAAGGGGAGGGGCGGGGTGACAAATTCACTCAAGAATTGCTGTTTGTACAACCCGAGCTGTACAGCTCAGGCTACAACCCCCTTACAAGTGGGGATTCCGCAAATTTTTTATTGCGCGTGCGCCTCTCGAGCTGTGAGGGGGCTGTAAACGATACTGTGCACCGTGCTGTGTACACAGTACTGCCCAATTCACTCACACTCACTTTCTGTGTACATTTGTACTTTAGATCTCTTGTTTTCAAGTTCAAAAAGATAATGTTTACAGAGTTTGTATTATTCTTTCGAGACTACTCAATTGGCTTAAAAAGTTTAAAAGAATATATTTGATTGACCGATTCAACCTCTTAAAGAATCAAGGAGAAAGCACTCTACAAAATATACTCTTCATTACCCGATTTTGATTTTCTTGATACCATGTGATCTCATTCTTGGAAAGGAAACAAAAATGAAAACTTTTATTACTTATTTGTGACTATTATGTCTCAATTTACGAAAAACGATCTTAGAGTTTTTCAAAACAAATGCTTACAATCTCCCTTTCTCTATTCGTGAACCTCATCGCCTTATATATAATGTCCCCCTCTTCCCTTCTTCCTACCTTGCAGCCTGTCTTCCTTCCCAACATGTCCTCTCGCGCATTAGGAACAACTCAACAAAAGTAGGTGTTAGAGTCTCCCTAGCAGCTGCTCGACGACTCAAGAGACTCTCGAGCTGCTTTGAGCATAAAAGTAGAGAGGAAGCAGAGTCATACAAAAAAGGTAACACGGAGAAGGGGAATGCAATAGAGCGAGGAATCGCGCATGGCCGATGAGAAGATAAAATGAAGAAGGCGATGGCCATTTAATCATTTTCAATGAAGTTAAATCAAAACATTTAACTTGACAGTATTGAATCTGTTGTATCCCAACCCAAATTGAAACAATACAAAAATAAGATAATCGATCAAATAAAGCTCAAAAGCACATTTTTATTGCACCTTCCAAGGTCAAAATTAGTAATAAAATTTTAACTGGCCTAAATTAAGATTCATGTTCTACATTGTAATGTAAATTCAAGTTAGATAACATGTGCCATAATCCAAGATTCTAATCTCACAAATTCAGTTGTCTTCATTTTTCCTACTATTTGTGTCCCTGTGCTGAACTAATTTGCCGCTTCTTTCTTTCCTTCTCTTCAACTTCGATTAATCCTTGTTTCACTCTATGTTTATATTTACTTAAGGGTCACATAGACAGAATGAAGCAGTCACAGCCTGCAAAATACCACTGGTTTCTTAGATGAGACAGTATGATAACAATGTAACAATATAAACTTAATATTCCAGAAAACATTCGAAAAATTAAGGATCTCAATCAGACCATACTAGAAAATTCAGTGAACAGGATTTGAGTGTCCCCCCCCCCCCCCCCTTTTTTTTTTTTTTTGCGGTGTTTTTTTTTTTTCTACCAC